TATGTAAATATCAGTAAACATTACTGGATAAATCTTCAAGAAAGACAATAATAATGTATGCTTCGATGCATGTGATTTCTCACCATAAGATTTTTATGTCTTATTCTCTCGGGAAACAGACTGTCCAAATCATTATCTGTATCAGTTATAGAGTTGTTCCTACTTGCGGAGCCATAATTGCGATCGAATGTCGGAGATTGAGAACGGAATCGTTGTTCGCGAGTATGTCGAAGATCAAACGTTTGTGCGAGAGCAAAGTATGCATAATCTAGGCAGGCGTATGTTAACAGGAATGGCATTGTCACAATTGGAGCGAGTGTATTAATTTGTCCAGTAATGATGAAAGTCAACGTTACTACAGCAACAACCAACATAGCGTATATAGGTACTTTATTTGGTCCTCTCTGAAAATAGAATTATTGTTCTAATAAATTACACACACATTTATATAAAAGTACATATTGTATAAAAAATTGTTTAAATGTAAAATAAAATAAATCCCTTCTCTGTCTCCTGTCATTTATTATATCTAAGACAAATTAAAATATAACATCAAGAATAATTACCCCTCTTTGTAAGCAACTCATTCCTGGTATAACATTTTGACTGGCAATAGATTGAAGAACGCGAGGTGTGCCGTACATGGCACCTAAACAGCTACTGAACGATGATACATATAGACCAGCGAGTAGCAACACTGAAATTGCTGATACCGTCGATACTATGGTAAAGTTGGTAAGCAAAGCATTTCTGACGCAAGTTGCCGCGAGAGTTAATGAAAAGCATAAATATAAAAATGTTCTGCAAGTAACAATCATTTTTAATGTAAAGATCAAAAATTTTCTAAAATAATTCACGTTAAAGAAAATTTATTTTACCCAGTTCCTAATGCCGCTAAAGTACCATTAGGAATGTCGCTAGACGGATGCCTCAAATCTCCGCTCATGTTAATTCCAGCTAAAACACCAGTGACCGTGGGGAAGAATACACCGAATACAGTAAACCAATTATATCCGTCTTGATAATCGGGAAACGTGTTGTTCCTCAAATTTCCTGAGAGCCACCCTTCAAAACCAGAATCTGCAAACGTAAATAATAAGTTACTTTAACTAAGCCTCTATACTCATATGCAAAAACACAAAGATATTTTGCAAAATTCTGTATTAAATAATACATTATAATTTTTTGACACAATACGTATCTTACCAATGTTGGTATGAGTAAAACTTCCAACCATAAAGTCAACTCCAGCGAGGAGTAGGATAAGTAGGAGGATAAATTGCAATTTTACAACCCATTTAACACCAGCCACATTAATTACCGACAACAATACAACAGCTGCGCACGCGAAGCCACGTTGTGTCCATGCTGAATCTATACCTACAAGACCAACCATTGATTCTCCAAAACCTAAAACGTTTAGAGCACAACCCACCGCCTGAAATAAAATCCACAAACCGATTCTTGGAATCGTTGATAAAATGAAAGGATAGGTTTATTCGTTCCTACCTGCCCGAAGCAGTAAAGTAATCCGATGGAGCCGCCGAATCTAGAGCCCAGCACGTGCGACAATAGAAAGTACACTCCACCACTCTCGACTCTACTCCGTTCACATATACCCACAGCTGACAATACTGTCACCAATGCAATACACACTGAAATCATTATGGTATACAGTAATCTCCTCCAAATATCTGCATCTTATGATAACAACTTTTTTTTTAATTGCTTTTAAATAAATATTCTCGTTTCTGTAAAAGATACGTTTGTAATGTTTCACTCATGAAGGAAGATATAAGGAGACTCCACTCAGTCTCGTCAGTCTACAAAACATCGGAAACTGAACTCGAAACTTAAAATGGGTCCACTTTTATTTTACGGAGTGAAGTCTCCTTATATCTTACTTCCATGTTTCAATCATGAAAAGATTTTACAAATAAATATAATTGGCACAAGACTCTATTGTATCTCTTCATGATGATTAATAATACAAATGTATCAGTTATACAATAATATACTAAAAAATAGATAAAAATCAACAGTTAAATTTAAATAGCAATTTGAAGTCCAAAGAGATTAAAAGAATATTACAATAAGTGTGTATAATGTTTGATGTATAAAAATAAAGTAAAATAACAAGTTGATAATATTGAAACCGATAAAAAAAGTATAAAATTATTAAAATCACTGCTGATGATTAAAAACGTTTGTCACAATGAACAAAACTGTAATATACTATATAAATCTTTTTTTTCACTGCATTGAAGTCAGTGATCTCTATAATATTCTGTAGTATCCTTAAAAAAATAGAGATGTTCTAATTACTAGACAACTGATGCAAAGATTGTACTATTTTCTTTGTCAAGGTCTCACTGATTGGTTAAAGTTGCAGACAAGGATAAAAAAAATAAGTATTTAGGTTTGTCCTTTTTTTTCCATATTCCAGAAATAAACTTCTTATATAATTAATCTTTCTTCATTTTCTTTTTAGATAAATTTTATATTTGATTCCAGAAATAAACTTCTTATATAATTAATCTTTCTTCATTTTCTTTTTAGATAAATTTTATATTTGACTTCCTTTTCTCTGTTAGGCTATAATTTTCTATAATTTAGTATGTATAAAGAAGGTGTACTCCAATGTATTATAGAGTTCACTGACTGGACTGTACTAAAACTTTTTATCTTATTTTGCCAAACTTCAAACACACATATTTTCATTTTAAATACAATAAGTATATACTAGTTCAGCCATAAAGAACAGACTTTATGATTAAAACTCTTTTACAAGTCTGATGATATTACCTGTACAGAAGATGATTAATACTGCATTCAAAACACCTGCTTGACCGACTATCCAGCCAGACCTCAGAAATACAATTACACCAAATATATTAATAAGGCAAGATGTAAAAACTCCATCCCAGGTGCCGAACAACACAGGTTGGGAAATAAAGAAGTTCGATTTCCACCAAGGATCTGAACTCTGTGGGAAATACAAAAAAAATTATAATACTATAAGGCACAGTGAATCAATGTAACTTTTATCATGTAACATATTTCTTACGTATTCCTGCGCGAACAGTTCGTTTGCACCAGCTTGATACATTTCTGGACCAAGAGCATTGTTATCATCTCCATTATTCCTCTTTGCGTTTTCCTCCGACTCTGGATCTCGTAAACCATATCTAGCCCAATCAACATCTCTGTGTACCCGAACGTCGCCGTTTGCAAGTCTATTCTCCTCGTTCGACCCCATGTTTTCTTAGGATAAAAGGACCGTGCAAGTCAAAGTAAACAAGATCAATTCTTGCTCATTGACGTCAGTTTTATGCACGTGGAGATTGTTACAAAGATTTCTTACATTAGTATAATAATGCCACATTTGTCACTGGCAATCTGTCTCTCGCGATACTTTCATATCGCGATGACAAGTATGACAACGTTTAAAGGTTAGAATATGAAATTCAGGAAATAACAAGGTGTCTTTAATGCCGCACGATAAACGCGACGAACGTTCTGTTCGAGAGAGAAGAGTTATTTTTTCGTCTTATCAAGATGCTGAGTCCGCATTTTTTCGTAATATTTATCACTCGGTGACGTCTGACTGGACGATAGAAGCCATCTTGATTCTGACCAATCTGACAGTAGAGAGAGTGATATAGAGAGTGAAGCCAACTTGGTTCTTCTTCCTAATTGGTTCTCCGCTATTTTCGATCAGTTACCGGCTGATTCTCAGATTGGTTGCTTGTCTGTTTATGGTGCATTCCGATATTCATGAAACTTTTCAAAGATTACGCCATGTTTTAGCGAAATTCTGCGAGAGAGAAAGAGATAAACACGGTAATTCAGTCTACCCAATAGTACTGCCACAGTATGTCAGTTTAAAGGTACTTTTTCATGCGCAGCACGCTGCAGCAGCAATTCGTTACTATTGGTTAAGAATTTTATGTAAGCTAGATGACGCACTTCCGGCGCAAAATACATTTTGCCGCAGTTCGTTGAAGTTGAACCGAACGAACAGCAAGCAGCAAGCGGCAAAATCGAGGCAATATTATTTATTGCAATAAATATTAGGAAAATAAACGAAGAATGGCTTCGGATAAGGTACGAATGTTTGTAAATTAGATTATTTTATACTTTACACTTTACTTTTTCAAATTTGTGGTAAAGTATAAAATGATCTAATTTACAAACATGTATCCGTACCTTATCCGAAGCCATTTTTCGTTTATTTTCCTAATATTTATTGCAATAAATAATATTTTCATAATGAAACGACGGACATATTGTACGCTTTCTCGATTTTGCCGCTTGCTGCTTGCTGTTCGTTCGGTTCAACTTCAACGAACTGCGGCAAAATGTATTTTGCGCCGGAAGTGCGTCATCTAGCTTACATAAAATCCTTAACCAATAGTAACGAATTGCTGCTGCAGCGTGCTGCGCATGAAAAAGCACCTTTAGGATTAGGTGTAACAGCCAGCGTATACAGATACATTGATAGAAATTAATAGCTTGCTTATTAAACATTAAACAGTTATAGAAATATGGTTGGATACAATACCATTTTGCAATAATGCATTTAAAAAAGGATATATTATGAAAATAATCCCCAGAGACACACAACGCCGAATAAAATGGGTAGACAGTATAAAGAGCAAATATAAAAATTGGATACCGTCAAAAAATTCATCTGTATGTGAGGTACATTATTTTGTATACAGTATTTATTTATTACCATTTTTTTAAATTTGTTATAATTTTTGAGCATTTTTTAGCATGAATACAAAATTTAGAAAATAATGCGGTTGAAAAACTGGAGGGAATAGCTAAAACATGGCGGACCAATCACAAGTGATACCCGTATGGCGCCACTCTGATTATAGGCTCTCTACTTCTAGGGATTCTAGATCACTGTAGATCACTGCGCCGGAATTGAAGTGGTGGGGGAATTTACATGTGACGTCATCACTCGTCTGTTTCCGGAGCGGTTTGTGTAGGTCGGGGTTCGACTCCTTGAAACAGGGCCACTATTTATTCAGAACAGCTGAGCATCAGTGATAAGAAGAATTGAGAAGAATTATCGAAAATGAGCTGTGCAGTAAAAGGATGTAAGAATTATAACTGGAAAACGAGAAATATGCCAGGAAGAAAAGTTCAATACTTCTCTTTCCCGAAGGATAATGCAATGGTTTTGAAGTGGCTGGAAGTTTGCAAGAAACAAGACCTCTCCATTGCTAAAGGTAAAATACTATGAAAATAAAAACTTAAGAGTACTATGAAATTTAATTGAAACAAGTAATATTATAGTAAATTATGTTAATGCTTAATTTGTAACGCTATAAAGCACTGGTACTTTCAATGATTTCGCATTTGCAATAAATTTCTCTATCCCTTCATCTTTTATTAATAAAAAAAAGATTGAATAGGACAGAGTATAAATTTTGCCAAATTCTGTTAGAATGTTCCATGTACCAGTGTTTTCCCTACTGAAAAAAATCATGTCACAAAATTACTGAATATTTTATAAAATTATTGATAATGAAATCATGTAATTAAAACAGGTACATTACGTAACGATTTGTTCCAAATCAGTACGCGATTTTTTTTTAAATTACGTAATTTGAAAAATCACAGTGATATATTTTTTCTTTCTATTCCTTTTATTTAATTCTTTAAAATTCGATAACTATAAAATCACATAACAGATGAAATTATTTCTATTATAATATCATATGATTTTTCAAATTATGTGATTTAAAAAAATAAGGTAATGATTTGGAACAATCTATTATGTCATTTACTTGTTTTAATTAAATGATTTCGTCATGTAATTTCGTGATGTGATTTTTTTTCAGTAGAGTTATTTAAGTTATACTTTGTTGCTCTTCCTATTTTTCTTATTTCTTCAACCAAACTTGTTTTATTGATCCATACGTGATGTCAATCAAATTTATCTGCAGTGCCTTACATTTTTCCTTCACAGTTGAAATGCTTGTTAGCATCGATACTTGTTTTTGAACTATATATGAGTTATTTAGATTTTTTTAGACTTTTTTGCTTTTTTCTTAAAATTTCTTTGTTATTCTGTTTATGTCAAACGTTGGTTGCAGGAAGGCTGTGGAGAAAGGCTTTATTTAGTTCACTATAGTATATCTTCATCTTTATTCTTTTCCTGTAATATTTCAGCGATGTATCGGACAATAAACTAATAATACGTTTTATACTTTTCAGCAAAGACAGCAAGGATATGTTCAGTACATTTTGAACCGTCCTGTTTCGAAAAATCGTTGCAGCAGAAACTGCTGCAGTACTCTCCGAAAAGAGTTCGGAAAATAAGAAAAGATGCTATTCCTACATTGCATTTGTTTCACAACTTGCAAGAAAAGAATACACCATTGTTTCATCAGCTGCCAGAAAGAATGGATGTGTCATTGGATGTCGAATCTGGTTCTGATGCAATGACAAATACGTCAATGTCTTCCATCGTCAAGTATGAGGAAGAAATCGATGATGTAATTGCGCCTGCAGATGTGATGGATGCATCCTTGAATGCCAACAAAGCCCCTGATGGGATGACAAATCTCCCAATATCCACCATGCATAAGGCTGATCAAGATATTACTGCATTGATATACGTCAATGATTCGAGTGAGGTCATCGATGCTGTGCCTGCAAATGTTATGGATTCATCATCGACAGCAGATACGTAAGTAGTGTAAGAAATTTCGAGAATCATAGCATGTTTTGCGAGAATTATGTTGTCAATTGTAAGAAAATGTTTCATTGCCTTATATGGGCATATTCCGGAGCAGGATTAAATGTCCTTACTTATGTTTATTTTCTTCAGCTGTTGCGAAGCGAAAGAAGAAACGTCGAAACAGGTGATCACGCGACCGAAGCGTGACATTCCAGAATATTCGGCACATAGCGAGTGCCGCGAGAATATACGCAAGGCAGGCACTCGGTAATTGAACTGGGTCAAGTGCAGATCGGTCGCGAGAAATACTTGATCGAATCTTTGTTAATCATTCGTAGATTCGAGTCGTTCGTAGACTCAGTGCCTTTAGTCATTCCTTCGGGAAGTTTGTGAAGCGTATAACCGCGTTCTTAGTTTCGGAGCACATAATCGCTCAATTAGTTTTTTCGGTAACGCGCCGTGCGCGTGCATTTGTAAACGGCCGCGTCACGTATGTTCGCACATACATTCGTACAGACATTTGCTCAGACATTCGCACAGACATTCGCTCAGACATTCAGTCTTCCAGTTACATTCTGGAAATATACATTCGTTTATACTCTCGGTCAATCAAGTGACATATGTGAACTCAAATATATAAATGTGAATAAATACAGTTTGTGTTACAGTGTTTAACAAAATCAAGTTTTTATTATTTTAAAAATTAGTCCTGACATCTATCCTCAAAAAAAAAACCTTACAGCCTCAGTTTTTCAGAACTGGGATCAGAATTCTTACACATGTGAAACAACCTAATTTCCGCGCGGATCAGCTCGTCGTAAATTTCGCTAGTCGCGAAAAAGGTTCGCACGGGAAGAGAGAATGCAGAAACTAATAATTAGACAGTAATTTAAGACAAAAGACAGAAACGTTTATTGCGTGTATCGTGTATATTTACAAATGTGTGTGGATGTGTGCATGTGTGTGTGTGAATGATAAACAGGTGTGTATCGTGTGTCGGTGTACGCAGGTGTATGTGTGTCGTGTCGAAACGGCAAGTAGACGAGACGAATACAAGATGTGTACAGAAAAACAACAAAGCGCAGATAGAAAAACGAAGATATTACGGACGGCACGAACAGAAAAACTAGAAGTGTAAATTACGGCGCGAGTACGGCGGATAACGCGTGGGGATCTTTAAATCCCAATACGGGCGCGGAAATCGCGGGGCGCGGTCGGTATTACGGATGTTTTCGCGGACGCGGAGTATACGCCAGTTCCGGATGACGGTCGCGGCGCGGATAACGCGGTGGGCGTTCCCTCTATGCAATGAGGGACGCTTCGCGGATTGTAGAAGGCACAGATACTCTAGCGCCCGCCTGCCAAGAACGCTTGGCGGAGGCGAAGAACACTTCACCCCCTTTTCTCGCCGGTGCGCTAAGTCTAGGATACTGGCGTACGGCTGTCAAGAACGCTTGACGGAGACCAAGAACACTTGACCCCCTTTTCGCGTCGGATCACCGGAGCTAGGATCGGAGCGGAGTTCGTAATAGAGCGGCGGTTAGGATAGAAGAGAGCTCCCGGAGCAATAATTACGCGTTATATACTAATTATTGCTCCCGCTCGTTTGATTACGGTCTTTTCCGTTATCGCTTGGCGGTCGGCAATTCCTGCGGAGGGGATTGTCGATCGGCGATCTTCGGACGCGTTCGGTCGCAGCGGCGATAGCTACTGTCGACGGCGGTAATTCTAATATCGCGAAATATGAAATGTTTCTGGCGGCTGGTATCGTCGGAATGATGCATTGAGGAGTGCATCGTTACACATGTATATGTCACACGTACGATTAAAAAATACATGTATGTGTCACACGTACGTCTTCTGAAATAACTGAAACGGTCCCTTTTCGGGACTCGGTCTCTAGATCTCGGTATCGGCTGCACCAATTTTATTCGAACTTGTCGTAATCGAAAGATACCGATGACATTATGTAATAAAAGTGTTTTTAGATTTTTGATTGGGCTTTTAAATTCTGAGTAATTTTAATCTAAAGTTTGAAGATGTGAAACCACGAGATAAAGCTAGTGGTAGCATCATGAATTTGACAGCGACATGAACATATACACGCATCAATCAAGTCAAGTGATCATGTCAAGCAGTCAAACGGTTATATTTTTATTTTATGCACATGGCGTTGCGACGCTACCGCGTCGCTTGATTAAATGTAGATATATTTTATCATTTTAATCGATTGTATGATTATTATTATCTGAGGACTCCCTCGTCAACCACATCCGCTGTGCGACCGAATAAAGAGAGATACGTGACGCAGTGTTATTGTTAGATGAGCGTCCGCGATGGAACGTCACGCTCGCATTACGCCAACATTCGTCGATTTGCAAGGTACTTCTTGTTTTTTTTCTTTTTTCTTTTTATTGCTTGTGTACTGCTGGTTTTATTTTCTAAGTGTCATTTTCTGTGTACTAATTTGTCATTTATTTTCGTTCTGTTAAGGTTTTTTGGTTAATAAACGTTTTGTCGTGAAAGAGGTTGCCGTTTTGAAGAAGAGGACGATTCTCACGCATTACATATTTTTACATCCGATTCCATGGAGATTGTTGTCCAAAGCCGATCAGACGCATGCTTCATGGCTGATGACGTATCATCATGGATTACTGTGGAATGATGGAATGGTACCGTATAAAATGGCGACGCGTTTGATTTCTGAGGCTGTCGTCGGAGAAAGCGAGTCCGTAATCGTTTACGTGAAAGGTTTCGAAAAGCGTGAGTGGCTCGTCGATATCCTAAACAACGACAAGATTATCGTTGAAGCGATCGATGGTGTTGAACCGCTTGATAATTTAAACGAGAGTGGTACCATGCGTTGCGGAAAACACGCAAAATGTTGCGCTCTACAGAACGTATTGAAGTTATGTAAGTGGTGGTCGAGTGAGAAGAAATAATAATAATATTATGTAACGTTTCGCGTTATACATATCTATATTTGTACGCGTTTTGACGTTGTATTATTTAATTTAATATTGTTATGTGGATCGGGTTGGTGAATAATTAAAAAAATACTTTAATGTGTTGCGAAGATAAAAGAAAGTTTTATTTCTAATAAAACAAATACATAAAATGGTCGTAATATTGTATTTATTAATAGATCTATTTAAAATTTTCAACAATATTAAAACATTACTTAATACTAAATCGTATACAAATATTTAACAGTAAATAAACAAAAAACCTTACAATGTCGACTCTTGGATTGAGCCTTCTTAAAATTTCATCGAAAGGACATTAAAGTTACACACGATATAAATGTATTTAGGGATTGTTTCTGAAACAGAAAAGATGCGTTAAGTATACTCGTGTTGTTTATATGTAAAAAAAAAATAAATTGTACTTACATGCGTCCCAATTCTCGTCTGAATCATTTTCGTATTCTTCCTCGTTGAATAATTTTTTTAGATACATTGTTTGTCTTTCCATGCGGAATATGTCTTGTCGATTGCGTTTTCGATCAAAACGTTTGGCATGCAGAGTTCTTATATTAATAAATCCATCGATTTGGACTCTATACAGTGATATTTCCTATAAGAGTTTGTATGCAAGTAATGAATTATACATATGAATATACATAGAATGTATATAAGTAATGAAAACAAACCAAGGTGATCACTTTAATGCGCAATTCGTCCTTTAATTGTAATTCGACAGTTTTTTCGTTGTCGACTAATATGTACTATAAAATAAAAAGAGACATACTGTATCTTTACGTCTATAGTTACATTATTTGTTATAGTATTGCAAAGAGATGATGTGAAGTATTTACCCCTTCAACCGGATATGTGTATCGTATTTTGAGGAGTTCCTGGAGATTGCTCATTTTGTTGTTGTACTACATGGGCTGAAAAGTCCCGGGATTTTTAATGAAAACGAGCGTTTTTTGGGCAAAGTTATATTCATTCCTCAACATAGTTGCCTTCGAGGGCGATACACTTGGTATAGCGATTTTCCAACATTTCGATGCCCTTTCTGTAGTACGAAACGTCCAAGCCTTCAAAATACGCCTCGGTTTCCGCGATGACTTCCTCATTTGATCTGAATCTCTTTCAGGCGTATGATAATGGACCCACGTTTTATCCATCGTCACAAAACGTCGAAAAAAGTCCGCTCGATTACGCTGCAACAACGCCAAACCGGCCGTTGAACACGCTGCTGTTTCTGGTCGACGGTCAGCAAGCGCGGGACCCATCGCGCCGATAGCTTTTTCATCTCCAAAACATCGTGCAAAATGTATCCCGCCCGTTCTTTTGAGATGCCCACGGCCTCAGCTAAAGTTGCTCGCGCAACTTCACTTTACGATTATTCAAAACGATTCGATGCACTTGCTTTACGATTTCCGCATTTGTAGCCTCTTTTGGCTTTCCAGAGCGAGGTGCGTCTTCCGTGCTTGTACGACCCATTTTAAATTCACTAAACCACCGATAGACTGTTGTTCTCGAAGGAGCAGATGTGGGATAACATTTCTGCAACCATTGCAATGATCATTCAGGACTTTTTCCCATCAAAAACCAATGTTTGATCAAGATGCGATATTCCTGTTTTTCTATTTTTTTTACGAAGGCGAAAGTAGCGTCACTCAAACAACTGTAGCTTGTAAACGAATGGATGAAATGTCATGAAACTTCATACATAAACTAGTGACAGATGAGTCTCTCGAAATGAGTCATGTTCATTTTCTAATGGCGCCAACTGTTGAAAAATCCCGGGACTTTTCAGCCCATGTAGTAGACTGTTTTGATTCTTAACGCATTCAAGCGCACTATTTATATGCATCGTATAGCGTGAAAAATTGTTTTTTTTTCTTTTATTATTCTTCAATGCGTGAATGAGATAATGTTTTATAGTTTACTTATCGTGGTGACACATCGGTCTAGACACTTTTCGCGAATATTGCAAAAACGTGACGAGTCGTCGATCGATATATTGCGCAATGCGCGCTATCGCGAAACAAAATTGTTTTTTCTTCTTTTATTATTCTTCGATGCGCGAAATCTATGTGCATGAATGAGATAATTTTTCACGGACAGTTTTCTTATCGCGGTGACACATCGGTCTAGACACTTTTCGTGAATATTGCAAAAACGTGACGAGCCGCCTATCGAAATGAAATGATTTAATATTTTCTTACGAAAATAATAATTACACGCTATTCCTAGCGAAACATATATAAATGCGCGTTGGCCAGACACCTCTTTCAATGAGAATCGTGCTACATATGTCGAGTGAGGATAGTGACAACGAATCGTATTCGTTTCGCGAAACTTCTCGTCACAAGTTATTCGACATTGACAACGATCTTTATTGTTTGGAGCGTCCACTGATGTTGAATGATTTTGCATACATTCCAAAAGAGAAGAGTGATTGGAATGTAGCTACTTATCATATACGTAGAGCGATCGGAAATCAATGCTTGCGAGAGAGTCTGTGGATTAAAACGCTAGTAGCATTGAACTGTCGTGGAACGTATTACGAGGCAAATGCTTTGAATTGGGTGCGTAGAAAGTACATTAAAGGCAAACGCGTTCGAGATCTACTTGAAAAAATCGAGTTTGAAATACCATTAGACAGTTGCGGAGCAACTTTGTGGTTGCCTTCACGTTAAGGTGAAAAATGGAAAACGAAATGGAGGATTTGTTGTATCGTGCAACGAGAATCAACACGTTGGAAGAGTATCAAGCATGGGAGACGAATTGTGATGAGTATCGCGATTTTTTGAGAGAGGTGTGTCGTAATACACGCCAGTTGTCATCTACAGGTGTGATAAATTCTGCGATCGCTAAAATAATATGATTGGAGAGTATTAAGAATACTTTACAACCTCGTTTTATACAAGAGGGTTCCGGTCACGCGGAATCGTCAAGACCAGCATTTTCATGGATAGAAATCGAAACGGCTTTCAATAGTCGCGTGTTCACTGGCGCAGTTGTGAATACGAATTATATTGAACCGCGACAATTTCTGAACGATGCGAGAGACATCATGTACGCATCAATCTTCGTAGCACGCGTGTTTGAAGGTGAATTCATATAATACGATATTCAATGGAGAATTCGTCGCGGATGACAAGAGGTCCGTCAAGAGTATTGCCACGAAGAATCATGAACTGTATGGTGCTGATTTGGAAGAGTGGTATAACGAGTATGTTATGAATGACATTTTAACATCTCTGGAGGAGTTTCAAGAACGTAATAGCGGATGGGCATTATCGCGCATATTGACTTTGATTGTAAATGTAAACAAATTGAATCCTATACACGCTGGATGTTGCGTGAATTTATCTCGACGTATCAGTTTGAAGAGAGCAACTATCAATGTAGAGTCGTTTGATAACGCCTGTTTCGCATGGTCTATAGTTACAGCATTGTGTGTGTATCCCGCAATTAATAATGTTAGTAGAGTGTCGCAATATCCTCATTATTTAGATGTATTACGGTTGGAAGGTATTGAGTTCCCCGTAACCTTGAAGCAGATCACGAAATTCGAAGATTTGAATGATATTTCCGTAAACGTGTTTATCGAGCGAGAGAGAAATAGAAAGAAAAGGAGTGCAAATAGCGATATGATGGTACCTTTTCATGTGACAAAACTAAAACGAAACATACACGTGAATCTGTTGTACGTGGAAAATTTGCAACGTAATCACTATGGCGTCGGACATTTTGTATTGATTAAGAATCTGTCTAGACTTCTCAGTTCTCAATTGAGCAGGAATTGCAACAAGAAGTGCATCTATGAAAAGTAAATAAGGATAAATTTGTTTTTAATAAATGGAAAATGGAACTGTAATTTGAAAGTGTTATTGTTTTTCTTACAGATGTTTGCATTACTCATCGAGTCATAATCTGTTTCGTCATGATGTCGATTGTACAAGGATGAACGAATGTACTGTTACTTTGCCTAATGATAACGATAAGTGGTTGTCGTTTCGTAATTACAACAGAAAGAAGCGACTTCCCTTTGTGGTTTATGCCGATTTGGAATGTATATTGGAAAAGACAGGAATTGACGATGAACGTATCCCAAGATTTACCTATCAACATCATAAAGTCTTCAGCATTGGATATTACGTATGTTGTCAGTTTGACGAAAACATGTCGATGTATTCATATTGTCGCGGATCGAATTGCGTAGAATGGTTCGTCGACGAACTGTATCGATTGACGCATCGCGTAAAGTCTCTTTTCGTAAGAAATACGGCTATGAATCAGTTTACGACTCAGCAATGGAAACAATTTGTAGACGCGACTCATTGTCATATTTGTGAAAAACCGTTCGAGATGGAACATAAACGCGTACGTGATCACTGTCACATAACCGGACGTTACAGAGGTGCCGCGCACGAACATTGTAATGCAAATTATCAAGAATCCTGTGTTATTTCTGTATTTTTTCATAATTTATCGGGTTACGACGCACATTTTATTATAAAAGATATAGCTAACAGATACGAAGGAAATGTGTCTTTGTTACCGGTAACGAAAGAAAACTATATATCGTTCACGAAATACGTGAAAGATACAAGTGGATCGTGGAAAGGTACAAATACCATGCAATTACGTTTTGTGGACTCGTATAAATTTCTCAGTTCTAGCCTTGAGAAATTGGTGTCTTATATCGACAAAAGTAAACTGAAAATTACGCGATCGATATTTTTCAATCTGGATGCACAAGATTTTGATTTTCTTACGCGCAAAGGAATATTTCCGTACGAATACGTTGACAACTTCGATAAGCTCAACGAGACGAGTTTACCACCACGTGAGGCATTTTACAGTTCATTGACCGACGAGGACGTTTCCGACGACGATTAGGGTAAACCCGGTATATACGCCGCACCTATCGAAAACTTAATTTATCAATTATTATTTACTATGTTCAAAGTAAATTAATTATATAAATAGAAACTTTGTATCATCTACTACTGTAAAAAAAATATTAGAAATCTAAAATAATTTATTTTCCATATTAAAAAGTAACTTTTTCAAATCCATGCATTTTTGCCATTTATCCCATGGGGGGGGATAATATGGCCACTTATATATGTATAATTCATAAGAAAATCACAAATAATCTATAAATAAGATGTAAAATGACGACGTAACTTGCATTATTTATTAATATATGACAATTTTTATTGATCAGAATGAAAAATGGAATACAAATAGGACGTAACACAATATTTTAAAATAGCTTCAAATCTTTGAAAATAATCTTTAAACGTTTAAGATTTATCAACATTTATGCATTAATGCAATGTATAATTGTTAGAATTAACAAAAACTTCTTAAATAGAGCGTCTGTGGTGCGGCACAGCATCCCGCTCGCTAAAAATGCCGTATATCCCAAATAGATGGGATATATATGACAACTAATTAAACAAACAATACAGGAGCAAAGCACTTGTATTTTGCTATACAACATGCTTTACTATTCCTCTACACATATGTATTGCAAAATAACCACTAAGTTTTTTACACACTCTATAATAATCATTTTATGTAGATTATAAATTATGATGGCATTACTTATTACAATAAAAAATCGATTTAACTCGCAATAATTTCATTAATATTAACAGTAAAGAACTGAAATCATAACATAATACTAATATACCATAAAGGCATGTAACAAAGTAATTGACGGAAACTTATCCCCACTTCTTCTATTTTTCCTAACTTCTGCGGCGTATTTGCTGACGCGGCGTATATACCGGGTTTACCCTATCGACACGCGACTAACGTGTGGCAACGTTTTGGCATTAATACTCTAGGGCTGCTTTCGATCAAGGCTTTTAGGCGACACACATCAACACAGTGTCGAACGCGGTGCTTTCCAACAACGACACGCCTCGGCACGATTCGACACAGCAGCTTAGACTGCTTTCCATCAAGGCTTTTAGACGACACACATCGACACAGTGTCGAACGCGGTGCTTTCCAACAACGACACGCCACGACACGATTCGACACAGCAGAAAAGCATAGTCGGACACTCTCGGTTATGGTTGCTAATTTTCGGTTGGCGCTTTAGAATATTTACATTTTAAATATATGTACGATATAAGAAGTACGTTCATAAGTCATCTGGATTATTTTAATGTAAAAAATAATATCTACGCATAAGATTATTATCCAACAAGAGACACAGAAGTGACACGGTGTGACACGGCAATCGTTGCATCCTCGTCGTTCGCTAATGTTAAATAAAGATGAGGTGATTGCTGTGTCGTAGATGGAAAGCAACCTAGGTGAATACAGTGATTTGTATCTGAAAACCGATGTACTTCTATTGGCGGATGTGTTTGAAAATTTTCGCGACATGTGCATGGAGAGTTACGGATCAGATCCGGCTTATTATTGCACTCTACCGAGTTACACTTGGGATGTTATGTTAAAGTATACTGATATTAAATTCGAATTACTTACCGATATCGATATGGTGTTATTTGTGGAGCGCGGCATACGCGGTGGTTTAAGCCAATGTTTGCATAGATATGCGCGTGCCAATAATGCATACCTATCGTCATATGACCCTTCGCAACCCTCTACGTATCTGGAGACACGGTAGTGTCTCGGCGCTAAGCCAAGCGCGCGACACTGCCGTGCCTCCTTTACGCGAAACGGAGAATTTTTCGGGGTCGAGATGATCAGATTTCAGTAACGGCTGAACCGATCAAGTTCTACATACGCTCAATCGACAGGAAATACTTAAATTATATGATAAAAGTGCTTTCATTCTTTTTCTACGTGCCCTACGAACGGAGATATCGCGACGCAAAGTCCGAATCTGTAAATTTTCACGTTTCATTTTTAAGATACTTCGTCATCATCATCATCATCATTATTAACGTCGTCGACCAGAGAAATGTCCATCTCGTTTTTTTCGATAATAGAGGGCCTTTGACTTTATGTGTTATCTCACTCTATCAATCATCCTACTCTATTTATCTATATCTACCCAGCAGCCAGTGTTGCATGGTATATCATCACATATGACGCGCGCGCGGTTTAACTCTTATAATTAAAAATAAAATATTATTCAATATAATAAATATGTATAAAAATTGAAATATCGAAATATAGAGATATGTTCGTCGTCGAGGATAAGTGTCTACGTGTTTGATTTCGAGGAAGTGAGTGTCTAGGTGTTCGCCTTCGAGGAAGTGAGTGTCTACGAGTTCGCCTTCGAGGAAGTGGGTGTCTAGGTGTTCGTCTTCGAGGAAGTGAATATCTAGGTGTTCGCTGTCGAGGAAATAGGTGTCTAGGTGTTCGCCTTCGAGGAACTAAGTGTCTAGGTGTTCGCCTTCGAGGAAGTAGGTGTCTAGGTATTCGTCTTCGAGGAAGTGAATGTCTAGGTGTTCATATTCGAGGAAATGGATGTCTAGGTGTTCGCCGTCGAGGAAATGGGTGTCTAAGTGTTTGCCGTCTAGGAAATGGGTATCTAGGTGTTTGTTTGTAAGAAACAATGTGTCGTCGTCGTCGTCGTCGTCGTGGTCGCCGTCGCCGTCGTCGTCGTCGCCGTCGTCGTCGCCATCGCCGTCGTTGCCAGCTACGGAGAGAGGAAATGTATTCTGGAATTTTTGGCGCAAGAGATATAAATGTGGTCGCGACGGGAATCTATAATGGGCCTTTTACAATAAGCCGTAAGTCACAAATCATAAGCTAGAAATGGACCAATCACAATCGTCAATTTTTAGTTTCTTACTTCCGATTTATGACTTATGGCTTATTGTAGAAGGCCCATCAGTACTGACTGTGAATACTGGCCTAAGAGTCTCGGCAATAACAAAAGATTGAGGTTAGGAAATTAAATCTGTCACATCGATGGCATAGACGAACACGTAAGTGAGGTTAGAATAAATAAATATTTTCTGCTTTATTACACAAATTCTCTGCTGTAAAACACATTCCGCTGTAAGAATAAGAATTATTTTCTATGTAATTATTTTGTTTTTACAACATTTGATTAGAAGACTTATTTACCGAGACACTATCTTCTACAGATCTTGTAGTTTATCATCATAAGTTACAATACCTCTATTAATTTGTTCTCTCTATTCTTTATATAATTATAAAAGAACTGATTCTTTGTGCTATATTTTATTTTCAGATTACTGAAAGGAAAGATCTGAACCACATATACTAAAATATTCTGAATCTTGATCTTCTCGCTGTGTTTATTTTGTGAGTTACATTTTATTATTTTATTATTTATTTGTTTGATAGTTACCTCAATTTGTTTTATGTAATTAAGTAAAAGAATTGATTCTTTGTGCTTTGTTGATAGTAAAAGTATGAAAAGAAAAAAAGGTATGGATTTAAAAGATCCTTGCCTTTTCTTTTCAGGACTTTCCCTTCAATAAATCTGTGTGTGAAAATAAAATACAGCACATAGAATCAATTCTTTTATAATAATAAAAATAAAACTTATTTGATACAATTACTCAAATATATATATATAATTATTTTATTGAAATCTTTAAATTAACTTAGTATTGAAATATTTAAAACTTTAAATAATTATCTAATAATGTAATATATTATATCATGGAAAGTAACTGATAAACATATATTATTGAAGGTGCCAGTTCAAAGTAAACATACATAAAGTGCATATTCTTTTGTTGCATATATACGTAACAATGATTTAACAACATTTAACAACATATGCACACTAGTTGTTTATGATAGTAATGTTAAATCATTATTACGCGTATATGCAACAAAAGAATATACACTTTATGTATGTTTACTTTGATTTACTTTGAACTGGCACCTTCAATAATATATGAGTCATTTTTCTTGGTAATATGTATAAAAGTATATAACGTCAGAATTTCACTTTCCCTTATCTTCTTCAGTAATGCCCAACAGTTCTTAACTTTACGTCTGATTGGACTAAGACTAACTCAAATATGTACTTGAACATCTCATTTTGTATACCAAGGTTAATTATATACATATTATATATATATATTGTGACGTGACACTTTGTGTCAGTCACTTGTGATTGCATTTACGCGGAGATCCTGTGTCCTCTAAGCTCGAAGGGCGAGGGCACAAGCGAGCGTGCCAAACTTATAATTTTTTGTATAAAATATTTAGTTATTTTCAGACCTTTTAATAACGATTTTTAGTCACATTTGAGCGTGAGCAATGGTTACGATAGGTCCATGTATTTTTGCCGCCTTACTTACGGAAGGAAGAAAGAAGACATCGTCGAAGAAGCAAGAAATAACCTGAGAGGATCTAGTTTGCGTCACCAAGGAGCGCGGTACACGCAGGTCGTATTGTTTTGTAACCTCTGATAATTTTGATATTATTTGGTGATTGTCGCAGACGACTCGGAGAAAGACGTAATAAGGGACCGTCTCAGTACGGTCCAAACATCGGCAGCCGCCTCAACTTCTGAGGAGAGCGATAGAAGACCGCTGATCAAGACGGAAAGCCTCGGTCAGCTAATTTGGAAAAGCGCGCCGAACACTCAAAGGATACCCGCAGGACTCATTGTAATTGGTCGCGGGGTTGCGCGGCTCCCATAGACCAATTAGAACAAGGAGCGGCCCGATAGGAAAGGGTCTAGCGGCCTGCGTGGATCCGCGGAAGCTCCCGATCGTCACTTGTGCGGTAATCGAGCAGCTGTAAAGAGGACGCAGGATCTCCGATGCCGTATTGAGAGGATCTCCCGAAGCATGGACGAATTATTGAGAGAATCTCTGGACGTCTGTTACGAGACTATTGAGGGCTTGTTGACGAGAATAACTGTCGTTGCCGAACCAGCAAGATGAGTAAGGATCGACGAGGGATCGTAA